TGTTCAGTTTTTGAATACATAATAACTATATTCATTTTGATAAACATATTTATAAACAAATAGTAGATATACCAGTGGATGCTAATTATTCAAGCAGTGTTACTAATTTATATCCTTACTATTATCAAAATAAATTTTTCAAATCCAGAATTATTTTCTTTGACTTATAGATATTTTGATGATTTACCAGTTCAGGTAAGACTAGGAAAAAAATCTAGTTTTCTTTTAAAGAGAAACCTAACTTAAATTTGTCAAACATGTACATAAATAATTCCACTACATTTTAAAGTAAGCAATCCTATACATCTATAATTCCATTACTATATTTTAAAAATGTTACATTTTTACACAGTCTATATTTGTCCTACTTTAGTGTTTGAACGAGTATGGAGCTTATTTTATTTTTACATCTTGGGTATTAGAATTTCTATAGGCTATAAAGTTTACATATGGAGTGGCTTATGCCAATTTTTGCAGCCATGATTATTTAAGTAATTATTTTTATTATTGGTGTTTTTGATAATGGTGAGGATACAGTCTAATCCAATCAGATCATTACATTTGAAAAGAACTCAATGTACTCAGATTTATTCAGGGATTAAATTAAAATCGTTGCAAAGCTAGTAGATGATGTGGAGTCATTTGATGAAATGGACAATTTGACAATATGGATGTGACATCACATATAAATACATACATACATACATATATATATACACTACATACTTGCAGAATATATACATTATTATACATACATATATACCTTATTGAAATTAAAATAGTAGGCACAAAATTAAGGTTGCTGCTGGTTTGTGTATGGCATCTTGGTTATGCCTTTGACCTAACTTAAGTTATTGTATCTTGAAATATACAGTATATTTAAAGGGTCTATATTGGTCTATTAGGTGAGAAGAAAAACACTGGCATTCATTGATTTTCAGAACATGACACTTCTGTACTATGACACAAAAATGTAATGAAAATGTTCAATAATTACCACAGTGCATAAAAACAATATGGTACATTATCAGTATTTTCTATTTACATAAATGTATAAATATTATATTTATTCTCCAGATCTAGCATTTATTCCTCTCTGTGTGTGTGTGTGTGTGCATTAATAGTAAAAGTTTAAATCCAAAGCAATGTACTTACTATCAGACTGGTTTCTGGTTGCTGCTCACAGGTGGAAGCAATGATGGGAAAAACAATGGATACCATGCATAATTAAAACATGCAAGCAGGCCAAAATAAGTATTAAAAAAGTATAAATACATAACAATTCATGCATAAAATCTCTGAAAATAAATTTACTTTCACACAAATTTTTGATTTTATTAAATTTTCATAACAGCTTTATTATGACTTTCTCACAATCATTGGTGAAATTCAAAAATACTTTACAAAGAATTTGATTAAAAGTGAAACAAAGAAATCAGAGATACAGCTTACTCTTTTTCTCTAGTGTCTGATTTCAGCAACATAATACTCATAAATAAATAAATATATTTATGTCAAAAATCTTCACATTATATTCCTAAATTTTTGATGTTAGTTAATAAAAACAAGATACATATTTTTGCACTGTTTTATTGTCATTAACCATCAACTAAAATTTTTCTGTATGAATGTAAGAAGTTAGCTTATACACAAATTTTTGTGTAATACTTATTTGTAGTTATTAAGAATCATATTATTTATTTATGAACATTAATTTATTATAATTTAGATACCAAAACTTTGCATATAAAGGATATAAACAGGAAGAAAAAGCTAGCAATTGTTAAAACAAAGCAAGAAGTATGTGATAAAAACAACAACATAAAATGCAAAATCTTTCCAACACAGCATCCTCATCTTATCACCTTTCATGCTAATTTTTATACAAAATAATCATTCTACAAGTGTAAAGTCATTTCACAAACATCTTCAGCTCTGAAATCTTGTATAAATACATGTATTCAAAATTCATCAAGGATTAGCAAAGCCTGCACAAACATACATCTGCTTTTATCACAAAGAACATCTTAAGAATTGGCATACAAAGTTCAACAAGATAGTATACTACAAACAATATGAAAATGTGTTGTACATGCTTGTGAGATAAAATCTATTCAAATGGAGGATACTGAAGTTTGTGCTATGAAGCCAACTCACTTTAATAAATAATGGTTACTTTGTTGATTTCCTAGCTGTTCACAAATATAACAAAATAGATGAGGACAATATGTGAAAAAAGAAACTGGAAGAAATACAGTATGATTGTATAAAACACAAAAATTTGTCTCCTAAGATATGTAATGATAATGGAAATTAACAGATTAATTCAACAGAACTAGTTTGTAACTACACTTCATATGCATTAGAATTCACAGAATATATTACATGAAAAAGTTAAAATAATTATTTTGTAAATACAGATATTTGGAAATAATGTTAACAATTATTTACATGTACTGCAAAGATTGGGGTGATGAGCCTCTAATACTGCAACTAGAATTTCGTTCAACCAATGAAGGTACATTGCAGCATGCGTGGAATATCACAAGTAGCATGACATAGCCTTGACAAAAGTAGCATCACATTCAGAAATAAATATTTATAAATTTAGTTAACATAATTTTTGTACAAGCCTATATTATTATTATGCTAATTGTACTGTTTAACAATCCCCTTTTTTTACAGTTCATGTAAAAATGCATTAAGAACAACTTACTGAAAGTCCTGATGATGTACTAACTCTTGGTTTGGAAGAGGCAACATATGCTAAGTACTGGATTACTTTCTTTGTATTCTCTGTTTTTCCTGCTCCAGATTCTCCTCTTTAAATACATTAAATACTATTTTATAATAGAAAAATTCTCTGTATAGAGATTACAAAGTATGTTACTATTTGGAAGATACTTGGTAGTGACATACTTAGACTGTTTGCCTAATATATTGGTATTTTCATGATAACAGTTCATTATATACAAGTTTACTGCTACAGAGCATATGTGTAATAGTAAGAATGTTAAACAACATTATTACCTGATATATTGCACTTTATTCCATATTACAGGTATGAAGCACATTGTTACTATGTATGTAAATTGATATTAAATATCAAGTTTACATGAATACAATTACTTAATTGGTGAAGTATGTTACTTTACTGGGTGACTGTAGTACTGTTACATCATCATAGCATTGATAATATTAAGCACATTATTCTTTATTGACATGACTTCATAGTAAGAATGTTAAACAACATTATTACCAGGTATGAAGCACATTGTTACTATGTGTGTAAATTGATATTAAATATCAAGTTTACATGAATACAATTACTTAATTGGTGAAGTATGTTACTTTACTGGGTGATTGTAGTACTGTTACATCATCATAGCATTGATAATATTAAGCACATTATTCTTTATTGACATGACTTCATAGTAAGAATTCATAATAGCATATGGCTACATGGTAGAATGTCATTTAGCACATATCAGTTGACAGGTTGCTATGCTATGCAAGGAGATGATACATTACATCCAGAATATAATTACAGCATAGACCTTTATACAGAATATAACATACCACATGGTAGAAAATATAAAACTAGAAGGTAGATTGCTGTTGTACATGCAACTGTGTTATCCAGCAATTAAATACATGGTATATAAAACTTGTGTCCTTTATTATAATACTAGTAAATGTACCTGAAAATGCCAGGTTTTGAAAACTGTTAAGCTGTAGTACAGGAACTTTTTTTCCAATGCAAAGGTACCTGTTATATGTACAGCATCAAACATCACTTTTGTTTGGCTTTAGTTTCACTTACTTTGCCAATAAAATTCTTGCTGAAATGAGTTTTCACCTGTGATAAAAACCAAACAAACTTGAACCAGTTGTCCAACTTTTCATTCACTTAAACTTGATCTCCGAGGAGGAGGATTTATCAAACTTCATTGAAATTGGTTTAGCCAGTTCCTTGCAACACCTTGTGATACAAGATGGATGCTCTCCTTTTACAAATTTACGGTAAACTGCCATCCAGCATATCAACAGGTAATCAGTATTTAACTACATGACCAACTGCTATCAGTATGTAACTAAGCAAGAGCTTGCTTTGCTATATGTAACTATAAGATATTCATCACATACCAAATGGTTCATTGATGTACAGCATGTTACTAAATGATAGGCTGTTTTGCATCCTATAAATACATTGAAGACTGTTATCCAGCATATCAACAGGTAATCAGTATTTAACTACATGACCAACTGCTATCAGTATGTAACTAAGCAAGAGCTTGCTTTGCTATATGTAACTATAAGATATTCATCACATATCAAATGGTTAATTGATGTACAGCATGTTACTAAATGATAGGCTGTTTTCAATACTATAAATACATTGAAGACTGCATATCAACAGGTAATCAGTATTTAACTACATGACCAACTGCTATCAGTATGTAACTAAGCAAGAGCTTGCTTTGCTATATGTACCTATAAGATATTCATCACATATCAAATGGTTAATTGATGTACAGCATGTTACTAAATGATAGGCTGTTTTCAATCCTATAAATACATTGAAGACTGTTATCCTGCATAAGCAAGTTTAGTTTATTTTGTCAGCTATAAAATAAATATTCTGCATTTCAATATAAAAAAAAGTGTCAGGTAAAATATTTGATCTCACATATTTTCATATAAATGATGATTGATTTTACATATAAACATACATAGTTTGGAAGTTGGAATCTGTAACAGTTTCTTGTCAGATAGCAAATTATAAATATTTGGTTTTTGTGAAGAAATTAGCAATTTTGTTAGCTAATTGCCACCACTCATGTGGAGCTCAACAAGTAGCTTTAACATACACACATAAAATATTACAGCACATTAATATTAACCTATTTGGTTTTATTGGGAAAAAACAGCCTTTTACGCAACAGATTAATTGAACATATTAACATTAATAAGACTTTTTTGTTCCATTTGTAGATGAGTAGAAAATTTTCTATGCAATAAAGAACTAGTTCAGGCAAACTGTAAGTGCAGATCACAATTTAAAATTTGTATTTAGTTAAAAATAAATTCTTTGTGTGCTAGAAGACATTCAAATTTTAAGTGTATAACTGAAACACAATAAATTTTACAATGTTATTTTATGTTAGCTATACAAACACTGCATTACAGAAAACATAGTTAAGGTAACCTACTAGTTCCTAAATTTTCCAAATCACGACCCCCCCCCCCTGGAGTAGCCAAACGATTTTCTGGGTCCAATGCTTAACAGAAGGGGGGGGGGGGGGTTGTCCTAACATACTTCAGTAAAGTCTAGTAGTGTTCTTATATTACAAATTTTTTGGTTTGTTTGTTTAAAACATTTTAAGATCATTATTTCATAAATAATTTTACATTGTCTTGACTGAAAACCACCATGATACCTTTCGTAGCTCACAGTGGGTAGTGACTCGCAGTTTGAGAACCCTGAGCTAGCCATCAGTAATGCATGATACTTACGTGCAAAGAATGGACTGATCTTCTCTATCTAAAAAAGAAAAATATTCTTATTTACTATTATTACTTTGCAAATAGTTGATAATTATATAAATTAAGCAACATACGTTTTAAAAAGCAATTTCTAAAGTAAAAAGTTAAAACATATTGTCTGTATTGTTATAATAATAATAATAAGTCAAATGACTGTTAATACTAATAGACAAATATGTGATGTTTTAAATAGCAGCAAAATTAATGATCTATAAACATCTTTCATCGCTCAGTGTTACTAACAAATACAAAAATGTGTAGTTTTACAGAAAAAGTGTGAAGTGATAACATAAAACACAAACAGTTAAGTAATTTTGTTAAAACTCATTTTTAAACTATTCACATTGACAAGTAAGGAACTGTGTAAGAAATGAACTAATAACTTTTGTATTTGTTAGTAACATTGAGCAATGAAAAATGTTTACAGATCATTAATACTTATCTATTAGTATCAACAGTCATTTGACTTATTATTATTATTATTATTATAAGAATACAGCCAATATAATCGAATTCATTATCTTTTAATACAGTGTATAATTTTGATAAAGTACTTAATTATAATCATACTGAAATTAAATAAAAACTGATATTTTTTTTCTTTCACTTATTTTTGCTCCATGTTGTTCAGCAATTCTATCATCGTCATTTAATATTAACTTAATCTTCTTTCATAACATAAACAATCTTGAAATTTAATTTCTTATCAAGAGACTACTTCAAGTTTAAAAAAAAATTAATTATCAAAATAAACATTGACCAACTATGTTTTTAAAATATAACATTACTTGTAAAATCAACCTTAACACACATTTGCACTGCCAGTGGCCTTTGTATTTTTCGAACTTAGAGAAATTTTTAAAGAAAATACAAGTTTTGTCTATTGAATTTGAAACATCAAAAGTTGATGGTTAGGAAACAATTCAATTTTTAATGATTTATTTTTCAATTATGCTATCACAGAAAGTATAAATAATTATAGCATCTATGCTTTCAAACAGATGTTCCTACAAATTTTGATTTGTTTTTAAATTTCAGGAGCACCCTATATTATAATCTCTAGAATTCATATGATGTGATTGAAGGAAACAGTTCAAAAATATATTTTCTAATGCAACTTTATTTCAACTTGAGAAATTATACTTGTTCTATTACTTCATAAAAGTTGCAGTGAGATACGAATTGAAAATATTTCATTCTCTGTTCTAAACTCCAAAACACCACCTTACAGTCGTTAGGTTGCTTCGTAGTAGATGTTGAACACTTAAAGTTAACAACGGTTACAATTCGGCCTCTAATGGTTATGTCAACAATTATCTCTGGATTCATTAGACCATCCGAGAAAAGGAAGTGTTAATAAAATAACAAAGCAAAGAAACTAATAACGTATACATCAGGTGTCGTGATCTCCTCGTTTCCCATGCCTCGATCACAATGGGTCAAACCCCAAATGTTCATTAATTAGATTGTGTCCGTCGAAATGAGGCACGGAAGTACTGCGCTACAAACTTAAACCGACCTCATATTTTACTTATACTTTTCCTGCCTTTCTTATTTCACTTCCTTTATCGTTATTTATGTTTTATTTTATTAGTTTTCCTCGTTATTCTGTTGCATGCTCAAATAAATATATGCAGGCACTATCAGGTCGGTTCAAAACATGAGTTGTCACCCAAAGGTTTGCGTTGTCAATCTTTGCTTCAATCGAACTTTTAAAACTTATGAATGAAAGCAAAGAAGAATATATGTCAACCTCCCCATAATATTTGCCGATGAGGCCTTTCGACGGACAGAGGTGAGGTGCTTTCTATTTAATTACACGAATAATAGCTGCTGTGGTATAAACTTGATTACATGATTGAACTGTAATTATTGTCATTTATATTTCTCATTTACAAATCAGAATTCGGGTAAAGTTTTCTTTCTTTTTTTTACACCAAATTATTTATTATTTTGACTTGAATTAACTTTTATCATCATCTAGAAATGGTGAGCCAGAAAGTTTGTCTTTGTTCTCAGTGTGGGTCAAGCAATTATAGTGTCAAAGCGAGAAATAATTACATTAGTAATTCTCAGAACTTCAGTGAAAGCAAAAAAGAATACGTAATTAAATGTTGACTCCATTATATTTGCCATATTCAGTGAGGACGAGGCCTTCTGTCAACACTGGAACTCATCAAGCCAGCTGGGATACGATAGGCACAGTTGTGGTTGAGGCGCTATTTATATCATATATTCTCATCAATGAAACCGTTTGGGGAATTTTGCTTGTGAATGGAGGGGCCATAGTTCACTAAAATGTCACAGAATTCTGGTATCATCATCCTAAGAAACCTTTGTTGGGGGCATTTTACTTTCTTGCTAGTTCTTTTTTTACATCATTATCTTTTATTAATAATTACACTTACAGTATATCGTTATACGTTCTAATTAACACAAACTGTACTTAGAATAATGATAACATTCCAAATTTGTCGGGCTAATAACACAATTTTTATTTTTGGGCCATTCATGTGTTAATATAACAGTTTTGCACCTCTAAACAAACTTTGGACATCAAACATTTTATTTATAATAAAAAAGGTGAAACTTCAGCTGTCAGGCGTTATAAGGAAGTTGCGCTCGTATGTTACGGCCTCAAGCCCCTTGTCGAATATTCTGACGAATGTAGGTACTATAATCTAAATAAGAAATGTATATGCCTAGCTGTATCTGACACTACTTTTACGGGTGAAACTATTGGCACTAGTCAAATGAATATGCAATGATTTTTATCACGGTTTTCGCAAGAAAACGAGAACATACTCTTTAGTTGTAATAGATCGTTCATGCTCTATTTACTCTTCACATAGGATGGTTCTAGGGTCTCATTGTTGGGTGGGTGGAGCTCCTGGATGCGACGATATATTAAACATCGTATGTCACCAAGCTGTTAATGAGATAACTCAATAGATTTAGACGGCACTACACATCCGCATTTGACACTTTGTACATTTTTTTAAATTTTGATTAAAATCTAGGAGGGGGGGGGGACAAAGGAGACTCCCTTGGTTGTATATATCAACATTGACAGCAATGAATTTTTTCACGACAATTTAAAATTCTACAGTAGAACATATACCTAAGATTACTTGAAAAAAAAAAGAGATTTGTGTAAAAATTTGTCTGAGAAAAAATAAATGCGAAAATTATAATGGAAAGGTTGCACCACACCCATTCCCCTCCCAAGCTCCCCTCCTGAAGTCCGAATGCTGTACCTTGTAACATATTCCTGTAGGATGCGTCTGTGACTGCGAAGATGTGAGGCGGGACCTCGTGGCGTTTCTTCCCTTTGTACAGTTCGATGACTTTCTTTGTATAAATGGGTAGCCTCTTGTAAGGGTTGATGACAACACAGAACAGCCCTGAGTAAGTCTGCACAAAATAAAACAGAAGTAATCAAGTAGAAAAACAAAAATCGACTTTTATACACAAGTCTTACCTTTCGGTCTTTTTTTTTTTAAAGTTGTACTAATCTTATATAGAAATTATTCATTTTGACGATACTTTAAATATTTGTTATATATATGTACACACACACATTTATTAGTAATATCTCCATGATATTACAATTTTTTACTGTTCTAGCTATCTATATATCTTTCTTACTACTTGCATACATTTTCTTATGCATGTTTGGGCAGAAATTGAAAAAAAGTGAAGCCTTAGTCACGAATACTGACTGAATCTACTGAGAGATATTAATAATACTTTCCTATACTACCATTTTCATTCCATATTCGGAAATACTGAGTAGATAGCATACAAAGTCACGTGTAATTCATAAGATAAGCAAGTATCTGGAATTGACGTTTGTCGGTCCCACGCATCCACTAAGAAATTTTGATCACAAAAGAAAGCAGTTACAAACTGACAACAGCAGTTTCGTTAACCACAAATAATCCTTGACAAACGGCTTATACGTTCCATTAATTTTTATAAATAATCCTTGCAAAACGGCTTACAAGTTCCATTAATTTTTATAAATAAGCCCTTTTAAGATCGCTAACGTATTTATACCAGTTATTAAACTTCAGAGAGTGTAATATTTTCTCAAAGATTTTATTATGGCCACTGAAGAGACCGAAACCCGAATTTTAATGTTATAAGCCTTGAAGCTAATCGCTCAGCCACCGGAGGCTAACATTACTAGTTTATCTACAGTATGAATCTTATTAAATGGATTTCGAACTATTAAAAACAAACTACATAAGAATAAAATTAAAACTTTTTGCCTTTAATTCAACTTTGTTTAGTTTGTGTTTTCAAAGCAAAGCCACATTGGGCCATCGCGTGGAATCGAACTCCGGATTTGATTTTAGCGTTGTAAGTCCGTAGACTTACTGCTGTCCCACTTGGGGAGAATCAACTTTTCAAGCGCTTGTTTCGTCACTCAAATAACTTCAGTTTACTTAGAACATCATCTCGAGAAACACAACTTTCTGATCAGATAGATTTGAAATCTCTTAATTACTTTTAATAGCTTTCGAATAACTTACAATATCAAGTACAGGAAGGTATGATTAACTCTTTAAAATGTTTCTGTTATTGTAATGTTTTGTTTATATGCTGTGTTTACGTGTACTTATAAAGATGTAAATATTTGTCACATGTACTAAAAAAAAAAATATATTTACATGCAAGTATTGAAAAACCTGTAGTTCTACAGTAATATTTTCTAACAGATAAGTATCGTCAAACTAATTATGATTTAGCAATATATATCACTTGCGTCAAAATATAGCTGTAATACTGAATATCTCATAAGCGCGAGTATTCCTTTCCTTGTACTAAAAGTCAACAATACATACTAACTCGCCAAACAATGTATTTTTTTTTAGGTTATCGAATGCGTGATATTTATTATCTACAGACTTTATGATAATCATCTCAAACATAACAAACGTCCCAAAAAAGTCGCGTCACTTTTGTAAATACTTCATGAATCAGACGTTATTTTTATACTTTTATATTTCTTTTGTCAACATGATGGAATCATTATTAATTAGTTACCTAAGCTTTCGGATATTTCCCTAAGTCGTCATTAGACAATCAGCAGTGGGATTACAATTAAACCACTTAGATGCTATACAGTCGTATCATAAAAAAAAAAAAAAAACGTTGGTAACATATTTGCCGTGAGCTTTTGAAGGATAAAAATCATTTACATTTACGCTGAGTCTGAAAGTAGGTTTAATGACTGGAATTATGAAAAAGGTACTTCCGAATGTTGGTAAAACATACAGCATAAAAACAATGAAAAAATAATGTTTTACTATACTGTTTGAAGCCAAAAGCTGTTATCATATCCACGCTGAACACAGTCTAATTATAATAAACCTCCTGAATCGTTCGTACATAGTAAAAACAAATACCACTGCTGTTTATTTAAAAAAACAACAACAATAAAATACGCAAAAAAGTCATATAGACAAACTGTATCCAAGTTTGTTCCGCTGAAAACAGTGAACACAGTATTATTCGAGTATTCCATACAATTAAAGCCTCCTTCTCTCAACACCGTACACTGAAATTATCTTGTTACGAACGCCAGCTGAGAGGTGAAAGTAAGCTGAGAATTTCTAGCAAATGTTACAAAACATCGAAATTTCAACAATTCTCGCCGTGAGGCACCCTCCCACGACGGCCGAACTTACACCTGCTTACTTAATAAAATTCACCCCCGCGGCTAAATATTCGTCACTGCCTGTTGTTGTCATCATGTATGTGTGTGTACATATAGCTTTGTAGTATAACATTAATAAAGTGTAAAATCAAACAAACAAAACACAAAATCGATACTCTTGAATGAATTTCTATCTTAAATTAAAAAAGAACTCTTTTAATGGTTAACAAAAAAAGTTGATTCATTTTTTTTCTTATTTAAAAAAGAAAAAAAAAAGAGTACCCTTCCAAGCTGTGTGGTGTGTCTATCTTTGTCTAGTACCTCCTTTAACCAGACTATTTTATTTTTTGACGTTAGCATGCCACTAATTCATATCTTACCGCTTCCCATTTAATTTTTTCAGATTTGACTGTCACTCCGTTACATTTTTTTTTCTGTTGGGGGGAGGGAGGCTGAACAAGATGCAATATACTTGTTGTAAGAGCCGTGGGTTTCGCTATAAATACTACCATAATCTTATTCGTTATTTACGGAAAACTTTCATAAGAAGAAATCCTGTTTGGGATGAATCTGTTAACTGTGAAGTCTTATTAGATGGGGAGGAGGGGGGGGGGATGAAAGAAAACTTGGATGAGTCTAGCTTACGAAAACTTTACATTAAGATTAAGACGATATCATGAAACATGGTAGTGGTTCATAATAGAGATCGCCATTTGTTGTTCTTTATTATTGTTTAATATTGCTCCGCCAACTTACAGCAGAAATGGTGTGAGTATCGTAGAATACCTGGGCAATATTATTATGCACATCAATGCGCATTGTATAAGGTAGTTTTCAAGTTTATTTGACTACCTAGCAAATAACAATGGTTGTATAACCGTTGACATACAATCGTTTTAATGTAGTGTGGTTAATATGGAGCCACATAATCTACTATATACATACGTATAAAGCTACGTGCACCATAGCGATTATTAACTTAATGTTGCAACTGCATGGTTGTCGCGTATAATTTGTTTATGTATAGGATTCTTGCCCTTTCGGACACGACGCTACTGACAGGATCTCTGTTACTTTTTATTTTATTTTTACCACTGCATGATCGATTTCGGCCATGTTACACAAACGTCTAGGCTGTATCACACAACATAAATCGTTAGGTCGTAGTTTAAAAGCTAGCATCAATCTCAGTTTAGAGCATTAGATCGGCAATCACGGAGATGGTTGATGGTACGTATTGAATTATAGCCAACACTGTGTGATTGCGGATTTTATAGGTGCTGCACATAGAATTGCCGTTCTTGAAGCTGACTACAAGGAGTAGCAACAATCGTGCAAGTAGGAAATGGCGATTCTAGGCGAAAATGAGCCAGAAATTTTGTAACTATATACTTTATTTAGAAAATATTTAATTTCAGATAAAGTATACAGCAGCCCACCAGAGTTTAAGGTCGTCACAGTGGAAGAGGATCGTAAAAGTGTCACGACTAAAACTCCATCAGAAATGGATGGATGGAGGGGGTATGCATATTAGTATAATCAATTTATAATTTTAATTAACACGTTTTCGACCTTTTAATATATGTAAAATACCACTTCGAGGAAATCTGGCCAGCTGCAATAAAACCGTGACCGTCCTTACTATGGCCAGCGGATGGGAGGAGGTAAAGGGGGAAATATAACAACTATAAGAAACATTTAAAATGCTTATTTGTATACATATGCTATTGTATGACACACCGTCTTCTTTTTACATTGAATATATATGCATGCAGCTATATAACGTTAAACAAATTCATATGGCTGTATGTATATACGGCTTTGTAAGTTAAAAAACAACTATAAAGCCATGCATACATACATACACACACACACACAAATATATAAATACATACATTAGCCAACATGCATTGCATGTATAAAAATCATGCGGTTACAAAATCCAGTCCATGCACCATTTCAGTATCGTTCAGTAGTCCCTCCAATACAGTGTTTACAGTCTCCAAATATAGCTATATAGCTACAGGGTATAAATATAGTAGCTATATATATTTTACAAGCATATTTATAACATGTGGTATATTATATTATGTGGCATCGTAGTGATCATACATGCAGTACCACTAGCCATCGAATCTGCATGAAGCCAATCCAAAGATTGTCGTTGTTTCCCGAGAGAGCATCATACACCAACTATATATTTCATTAAACAAAACTGTTTCAAATAGGACATTATTGCTACTATACAGATTTATGTCCAGATGGACATAAAATAATACTAAAGAAAGACACAAGATTATTGAAAATTATTAATTTAAAAAGGGGGAATAAGGATCTTCAAAAAATTACAGAAAAAGATATGTAGCTTAAAGTGAAAATGAAATCGCAAAAAAGTAAACAAACAATCTTAAGGTTTTAGACATAATATTGACATTATTCCCTCAAGCTACAAATCCCGATTTTGACTCTCCTAAATATTACAGCTTTTAGATATGAAGTCAAAAATAGGGATTTGTAGCTTGAGTAAATAATATCAACACTACGTCTCAAACATTAAGCTTATTTGTTTACTTTTATGCGATTGCATTTTCACTTTAAGCTACTTATCATGTTTATGTAATTTTTGGAGATTCCTATTCCCTTTTTTTAAATTAACAATTTGTAATAATCTTGTTATTTTGAGCAAACAAGGTAGTAACAGATAAAATGCCCTACGGTGGCTCAGCGGCAAGTCTCAGCTCAGCTTCGA